GATGGGGGCATTTTGCACTTTTGCTACATCCCAACGGCGTGTCGACTCATTCATAGAGCCTTTTCTTGAGTTGAGAGGTTTTACCATGTTGCTGAAGCTTTACAAATGTTCATAGTTTCACCAGAGCGACATTTGCTGGAAGCTGGAACTAGGGAAGCATTGAAAGCACAAAATGCCCCTCTCCCGTCGCCGAAATGCGCCTCAAAATCGTTACTCTTTATTATGCAGTCTTTGCTGTAGTGAAAGAACTTTGCCGATAGACTAGCTAGGCGGATAGGGAAAAATGCCTGCTAGGAATCTGAGATCCTAAAAAGGTTATGTGCCGTTTTTCCTGCGAAGGACGCGCTCTAAGCTACTTAGCAAGGTCCTTAACCTTTCCAATACTCAGCCGCGAGCTCTTGCTCCGCCCACAAAGTCCGCCCCCACGAATAATCTCTACTTGTCTGCGTACTAGACGTTGCGAAGTTGCGCCTTCTCGCAAACAGGTGATAGTATATTAGCAGCTAACTCGTCCGCCGTCTTCAGCTTATGATGGTCGAGCGCCCTTTTCAGTAATTGTGGAGCCGTGAAAGTCTGACAGCTTTAGGATAAGACATCGGACTCATTGAGCAGAGAGGGATCCCGGGAATTGGTTGAGCGAAGAATCTGTCTCCATGCCGCGTTCACACTTTTTGTCGCGCGATTGCTCTACCAGTCACTACTGAAACTATTGCAACTGCTGTTTCAATCACACTCGTGGTGGATTCATTTCGAACTTTGCTGTGGTCCAACGGTTAGCGCTTGAGCATGTTTAGTCGCCGCGCCACTATCCCTTTGGTCGCGTACTGTCAACGCATAAGGGCGCTGTAGCATACGGAGGGGAAAAAATCCTGCGTAAGGCTGTTCACGATGTTGCTCTATAAATTCCGAAGAAACATCCGAGCTTGGCGCCTCAAGATGTGTTTATACTTCGGGGCCCAGCTCCTGGCAGGACCACGGCTACACAAACTTCGTTTGTGTGCAAAAACTATCCTGAAATTTGATCTGCACTCTGAGCGTGTGAAATTGAACAAGCGAAACCATCTGGCTCGCTTTAACCAGGAAAAGATGCAGCTCCAGTTTCTTATTGCCTTCTACCATCAAAATACCGCAGCTCAACCAGAAAACTACCAGAAAAACCCTCGGTCTTGAATGCTCAGCCCCCCGTCTTCATTTTTCCATAAGAAACTTCACCAAATATGGCCTAAATCATAAAAGTTCTAGGACTACCTAGACTTCACTTACTTTCTCGGAACTTTCATTTTCATTTCGCTTCTTGAATTCTTCAATGATGACCTACCTTTAATCTTAACTTTTCCAATTTCTCTGACTGCTCCTGCGATTTTCCAGCCAACTCGGCTTTCAGTTCGTCAATTACACTCTTTAGAGCATCTTCGAGATGTTGCTTGCTTATCTCCTGATCTCTCTTCAAGCTATCGATTCGTGAACCAATTCGTTGTTGTCCATTCAGGAGAAGAGCTAACTGAATGATTACAGTCTAATGGTTGGAGCGAACTATAGGGAGCATTCGCAAATGAGGCCAGAAATTGTACTGCTAGTATGGGATAGCATTGAACCCAGCGGATAATTCAGCGGGCTCCTTTTATCAAGCGGCGCTTTACTCTTGACTTATGCTGCTGTTAAATGGTACTACTACGTGATTGGTGCAAAGCCATGAGCTCATCGCCTGCTATCCTCTCACATACACCTTGAAGATACATTTGGCGGTTACATATTATGGACGGTGGTCCCTACTAGGGTTTTGTGGATACATCACCGTTGAAAGCGTTCTCGTAAGACTCCTTAATTTTCAGCATTGAAATAGATGTGGAGAGGTTCTGCGAGCGCGTGCGGAAGCCCAGTGTCCAATGAGAACAGAAAGGCAATCTAGACGAAGGGACCGATTTCACACGGGTATGAACTGAGCGCCATCCATCTCTCGGTAGGGCCATCAACTAGTAAGTGGTGTTACTATGGCGAATGATAGCCTCCGAGACTTTTCAAACAACTTACAAGTTAGAGTTATGAATGTGGTAAAACCTGAACGATTGTGGACATAGCGCGAGGGCTGGCGATTAGGAGACTTGCTCAAACAAACACAGTTGGAGATAGCCCTTCTTGGGTCAGGGTCGTTCGCATTGGGAGAATTTGTATGCGAGGGGGGGGGGTCATTGCTGGGGGAACCGAAAAACTTCCCGCGGAAACGGCAGAAAGATGGAGAAACTTAGCAAGCTTGTTCAGCGGATAAGGCCGTACTGAAAACGCCATTTCACACATCACCATGCTGTACGTACGGTCAAGACAATCGTGACTTGTAGAAGCGTCGTGTGACAGCTACGACTTATAATCTAACTCATAATCCCTCCCTTTCTAATGGTCCTTTTTGCTCTTCTTATGAAAAAACTGACGTTATAGCATCGTTTATGTTGTAGCGAGTCATCCAGTTGCCGCACGCGGCAGGCGACGTCGCTGCACACGCTTACTAGCGCGGTGAGTTACGATTGTCTTGGCACATACTCGGGCCAAACTATGCTTTCAGTAAATAGAGAATGAGATATTTGTGCATTTGTTATTGGTCAAGCAAAAATCGTATCCAATCACAAAATACCTACACTTTCGTTGACTGCATTCAATGCTGCGTCGGAAGATGCTGCTTTCTCTCGTAGGCGTACACTGTCAGCTTTCTGAAATAGTCGAGCAAACTTTAAAGCAAGAAGTTCAGCAAGCTCGGTAACTATAAAAAGCGGGCTACCATGCTCTTCCAGTGAAAATAGCTTGATTAATGACATGTGACGTCTTATCTTAGGTCAACTTTGAGGAAATATTAGGTTGTCCGGAAAGGAATGCGCGTTGAATTTTTTGAACTTGTCCATTTTTTCTCTCCTACTATAGAAGATTTTTGGAGACAGTTTTGTCTATTAGAAAGAGATTTTTATTGTGCTTCTTTTGATATATTTTTGTCCATGTCTACTTTGCTTTTTTTTGGGAAAAAAGTTGGGAAAGACGGGTGCCGCACCAGCTGAGCGACGCAAACAAGGCAACACGAGTGGCAATGGCCGGAATTCTTCTTCGTCGCTCCAAGAACAGCGGTTTTTTCGACTCTATTATTACATCAAATGAGAAAAGGGTCTGCTTCGATAACGCAACGAGAATAAGGACGGTAGCGTTAGACTCCATGACCCTCCCAAAACGGACTCGAAACCTATATACGCGGCAAAAAGTATTGCTCCGTGTTTGGTGAATAAAAGTTGATTACTTTGAACGTCCCTAATCGGTCAGACGCTTAATGCGAGACTATCTGCAAACACCAACTGAAACCGCATGGCCATCAGCACTGCCCTTTCAAAGTCCAAACGACCGTCCGACAAAATTTATCCCACTCAAATCCGCTCATTCACATGTGGCGAAATATCACCTCTAGAAAAAATTGAGGAATTTTGGTACTTGCGAAAGTCCGCTGCCTTCATCCCACACAGATCAGACCCGCCCATCGATTACATCTGTTCCGCGTCGATGCAAACTCCCTGCCGACGAAAAATTCACAAACCGCCGAAAAGAAAAATAACTCTGTGAGGAAAACTATCTGTGGCTAATTTAAACGCGTTCTTTGGACCTGAAGAATATAGTCGTCTACTCCTAAGAATTGCAGCAGTCAGTATGGGAGAGGGGTAGTTCGGCACGGCGTCAATCCGTATTCCACCAATTGTTGCCACTTGCCCGCTTGAAGACAGTTCTCGCGGTCAAGTGGTCCTCGAAATGCCCCCCCCCGTTCCGTCTGGCATCGTTGCCCGCATTCGCAGAAAAAGATACCACTTGCGTTACTCGAAATGGCGAGGTAAAGAAGCTAGAGACACGTGATTATTGCAACCACTGCAACCACGACTACTTTCACTCTGCAAGACAACGGGTACAAGCGGAATTGCGCGTGTACATAGCGTTGCATGGAGCGTCGTAGGACGGTTTCCCGATGCTCTTGCCGGGAATCGGTTACACGTAGAATCCTGCTGATTTCGCTTGCCGACGTCCGACAAGCTCGTCCTAGGCGCCGGCCCCATTTCTAAGAGGGTCTCTGTTCACAGTGATGCCATGGTTTTTTTCGCTTCCTTCTATACTGGAGAGTTACTTATGGGCTACTGTTTCCTGATTGATTGAGCGCTTAGTGCTCGTATCACTTCATCGCGGGAGTTGTCTTCAAACTCCTTGCGGAGATCAGGCTGACGCAGCTCCTGTCCCAGCCGCCTGACAAGCCTAAGCCTCTGCAGCGAAAACGACTGTACGTGCCCCACTCAAGCTCAAGAGGTAGCTCCACGAGCTTTGATTTAACTCATGTCGGAAAAGATCAAAGAAACTGGTAAATTGAAGTGAGTTTAATCGTAAGCGTGCATCTGCGTAGGAGAACGTTTGTGTTGTCCCAAAGTTCTATGAATGCTTTTTTCAAAAGCAAGCTGTTGGAAACCATATTTCAGAGAATTTATTTTCGGATAGCGTCTCTATAGAATGTCATGAAGCCTGAAATATCAGTTAAATCAACATTTCAAACAAAAGGTTTCATTCATGAACATTAAAAGGTGGCTGAATGCGGACGGCAACCCACGTTACTGATGCTCCCCCATGAATTTCCCTACCGTAACCACTCCATTTCTTGGAACATTTCTAACTCACACATGAGCGGCTTCTTCTACAAAATTGAAGGCTATCCTGGTCACACATTTACCCAAGCCCTAAATCAAAATATGACGATGCATGATGTCATGCGTAATGAGGCGTCAGTACGAGCTTCTGAACGAGTCTGGATGAGGGTGATTCGTCATCTGCAGGTAAAAATCATCTTGTTCGAAAAAAAATCCAATCTGAGTTATTTGAAAATCGTATCGTTGAAATTCTTCCGATCAAAATGAAAGCATGAAGCTCCCCATTAGATGGCAGAGGGTATCATATACAGGGGGGGCCAAAAAAAGTCACTTCGACCGAGTCACATATCAGCAAAGTTTTCGCAGCCCAGACAGAAGACGTGGATACGAGTACCAGGGCGGAAGATACCCAAGATGTTCCTCGATAAGCAGGAGCTGGCTCTCGCCCATCACCTTCATGTACACCAAAATATGAAGTCATCTCCAGTCGCAGCCTGACTGGAGAAGACCTTTGGAATTCATGTCACCTCCAAACAGCTGCGAAACTTCTAGTATGGAGTCACCCATGGATAGCTACCTGGAGCTAGTCTCTCATCTGGAAAGACCTCAACGATCGAGCACCGACAACGTGCCATCGGTTCTGGACATCATCTTGCAGCCGTAGTTCGCCATAGGCGCGGGGTTGAGAATATGGGACTGGATCGTCACCCTGGAAGTGGAAAGATCCAATATTTTTCTTCGTAGACCCCGACCTGAAGGTGAGCGCTGACGGTTGCATCGAAGAACTCGAGAAGAATATCCTCTCCACATGTTGTCGCCCGTACCTTCTTGGAAACTTTGTACTGCTACAGGATTGGGCGACACCACATGGAATCAAAGGGCGTTTGGAAAAACTGTAGGCCTACGCCGGAATGAAGGGGGGGGGGCGCGAGTACGCTACAGAAGATGGAATTATCAAGTAGGTCACCTGACCTAAATCCCCTCATTACCGGTCCCGCGGAGTTCAAATAGGGTGGTCTACGGTGGCGGAGAAATCGACTATCTCGCTGATCTCAGGACCACATCGCGGTTGCGTGCCAGAATCTCTCGATGGCGCTCCTCCAGAAGGCTGTGGCGGAGTGTCATAATAGTATTTAATATGCTCTTTAATATGGTGGTAGAAATGTCCGATCAGAATTTATAAAGTGTAACTTATAGCGCCTCGAAAGTCAATGAAGCAAAGTGACTTTTTTGCCCCCCCCCTGTAGTTGCGTAACTGAATGGATTGATTCATGATTCGTTGATTGTTAAGTTAGGCAGCGTTCATACTTCGCGACAGCAGCGGCGATCGCCGCGATCGTCGGTACAGGTCAGAGCGCGCCCCAACGCTATTACTTGCACCGCTCCGAACACTGTTAAAAAGAATTGACTCGACTGCGTGCTTCTTTTTAAATTGCAACTGTCTTTGGTACGAAAGCTTGTTTCGACTCAAGGGAAGGTGGACCAAGCTTGATGGCTTTTATTTTCTATTTTCTCTTTTAATTCAGGATAGAAATGAGCTAAAAACGTGGGAGCTTCATTTAGGGTAAGTTTCTTAGTGTTTCTTTTTCATTCTTCGAGCTTATACATGAATTTATAAAGTTTCCTCCTCCTTGATGTTGCATAAAAATTAGTGTTTCGATTCCTAGGTGAATGCATTCTATTTCTTTCTTATTTTTGGTTGTTTGAATTCGACTTGTAAACTATAAATGTTTTGGAAGTTGGAACAGTTTAACCAGTAGGAAATTTTGAAGACACTCATATAAAATGAAACAATGAAAACGATACAGAAAGAAACTCACCTATTAAATGAAGTTGCCCTTATCCCGACCTCAAAAAAGGTGAAACCCCCTTCCTCATATTCCAGATCCTCTTAAATAGAGAAAGTTTCTAGTTAGTAGCCATTACTAAGAAAAAAGTCTCACAAGTGGATTTCCTTATTTATCAGAGCGAGCGGTCCAAGTAATAGCGTTGGGGCGCGCTCTGACCCGTACCGACGATCGCGGCGATCGCTACGATCGCTACGATCGCCGAGGTCGCCGCGATCGCCGCTGCTGTCGCGAAGTATGAACGCTGCCTTATTCAGCTCTGGCTTCAAAAGGAACATGTTGACGAGACTTCCAGGTCAACCTGAGAATACTATCACAAAGTGACCAACCTCTTGTGCACCATGATATTTGGATTGTATCAAGTTCTTTACTGCAGAACAGCCTTCCCATGGTTGGTCATTCATACAGATTCTGTCGGAGATGGTAACGTAGATAGGATAGAAATATAAGCTCAGGTCGAAAGGTCAAGCCCATGGATCGTCGGTGCAGCTCATGTGTTGGTGCGTTAATGCGGTGCACATTTTCTCACGTTTTTTAGGAATCAGCCTAATGGCCTTAGA